TGTTGTTGCTGCACCCACATCACCCCTCAGCAATTACTGGAGAGGCTCAAAGATTACGGCCAGGCTAATCAAGCCAGCTCCAGCCCATTTAACAGAGGATCTATTTCCTATTTGTGCTTAAGCAACATTATAGATCAAGCAAAAGTTCCCCAAAATTTCTTAAATGGTTCATAATACTTAAACAAAGCAACTAGTTAAATGAAAAATGAATAAAGAACTAAAGCAATATTGTTAAATGATAATTGATTTCATTTAATCAACAACTGTTGAAATGAAAAGGAGTACAATTTAATATTATGGTTCATATAACATATTTCATTTCAGGTGAGCTTAAACACTAATATCAAGTGAGCTTAAACACTAATATTAACCTTGATAACATGATGAAGCAAGGCCTAAAGTTTGAGATAAACATGTTCCTTTCATGTTTCTAACCAAATTGCTAAGTTCAAAGCCAAGTCATCAACAAGATAAAGTTAACTTCACCATCAATAGAATTTAAGGATTATAAGATGCGGGAAAGCAAATCTTATTCGGACTCAAATTGATAAAAAAGCAAAAAATCAAGCAAAAGCGGCCACTCGCTCTCAACTCAAATAAAGCACAAACGGCACTGCAGGCATTGTTAAAAGAACAATAAGAAAGATTCCAAATATCTAGTGCAAATTCATATGCAAAAATGTTTTTATGGCACATCAATGGATTCTTAATCCTAAACATGGTCCAAAATGCTACGAACGATTATCTAAACATATACGTTAAAAGGATCGATCGTATTACGCAAGTCCTTGACTACTTCACAATCAAATACACCCGAATAGAAATAGAGAAATAACTCACCAATAGGAAAAATAGCTATCAGCAAAGCAAGTGTAAGTTACAGTGAGCAACTAAACTGCAAGTGTACTGGACTTTGCAGACGTCGTAATAACCCTCCGACGCAGCCACAGCACTGCGATAATGAGGTTAATGAAAAGGGTTAATGAAAAACGTATTTTGCCTTGGCCTAATCCCTAATAAGTGATTTTGTACTCGAATGAAAAGTAAAGGAAATAAATGTGGTGAAGTGAAATTATGGCGATTTAGAATTTTCATTTTCAATAGTTAAATACGCTAATCGATCTAATAACAAGTTGGAAGAATAAATAAATGTTCATTAGAAAACCAGTCTACTGTGCTTTCGAGTTTCAAAACTGAGGAATCGAAGAGTCTCATCCCCATTGTTCGACTAAATGCTTGTGTCTGTGTGTTGGGGAAATTTGACTAGACTTTCATGTGTGCTCTAGAGTACTGATATTTGAATCAAAACTATGCGGAAGAAGAGGGTAGCAGTGGTTGGCAATTAGGTTATTTGCCTCAACGATGAGGCTCCATTTGTTCATTTTCCTTTGAGTTTAAAGTATGCATACAAACAAGACCCGAGAACAGCAACAACATTCATATCAAAGCGAAAACAGCAACGCATGTGAGATAACTATGCTATTTCAATTGGGACTTTCATGTAATGAGCCTAGAAATATTTTTTGGTAATGATTAAGAACCCATACTCACCAAATCAAATGGAATCATATTTTCAATCAACCCTTCAAACCCTATTTTCGTACCTGATAATGAGGTTCATGGATTGATGAAAGCGCGAGATTCGCCGGCGATGGCGCGATGCTGGGATCGACGGCGTGAATGGTGGACTCTGCAAGGATGATTTGCTGATGAACTGATGGAGGATATAAACATAATAGGGGTCGGGAACCAGTCATGAAAATTTTTGGGGGTTTTATAGAAATTTACGACGTTTGTAATCCAAACCGCTATAGTTCTACTCTATCGCGGCGTTTACTAAAAATCGCCACTACTGTCAAAATCTTTTGCGGCGTTTGTCATTTAAAAATGCCACTAAAGTATGACTCTTTAGCGGCGTTTGCATAAAAACGCCTACAAATATTTTGCAGCGTTTGTTGAAAAACGCCATTATAGATTAGATCTATTGCGGCGTTTTTACAAAAGCGCCGCTAATGTACTATTCTACATCCATGTTTGTTGTAAACACCACTATAGAATAACCATATTGCGGCGATTATATAGAAACACTGCTAAATCAGTAATATGTAATGGCATTTATATAGAAACACCACTATGGATAAACCTATTGCGGCATTTTTGATACAAACGCCGTGAAAAAGTCAGGTCTATATCGGCGTTTTTATCAAAAAACGCCGCTAATTACCTTTATTTATATAAGATTAATTGATTTTAAATATTTCATTTCTGCTCTACATAAACTATATTTACTATCATGTACCTTTATGTAATTAATAACAACCATACAATTTAATTAAGACAGAAGTTATGTAAACAAATACTTAACAACAAAATCCATAATAATTTATAAACATTAAAGTTATGCATAAACAGTCTTCACATATTGTTCACTACAATTTAGTCTTCATTACTCCTTCGTGGGGAAATGACGTAAAAACACTTTTCCTTATTTGACGAAGCATCGTTAAGTTTTTCCTCCGTGTAAACTCTATATGGAGATACTCTTCATCCATTTCACTAAATAAATCCCCTACCTCCGGTTCATCAAGAAGACTCCTTGCGGGCTTCAGTGCTTCACTTGAAACAGATAACGACCTTCCACCTACAGTATGAAACTTGATTGGAGGTGGCTTGGGAACTGAATCAAACATTAAAAAAAATTAAATAGAAGATAGAAACGTTTACTTGGAGTAACAATACAGGCAATGTCGTCTTCATTGAGGATAGATATTGCTTTTGCAATTGAAGATTCTTTCACGACACAGAGTTCCCAAATTCAGTTCTAAACATCGGGTATTTATCCACTCCTCTATCATCGTTCTCAATAAGCTTCGAACATCCTACTTGCGTACGTTCTATGAAATTTGAGCGTACAAAATAAAAATATAGCAGCTGAAAGATTCATAGATTATTACCTTGAAGTAGGAGATCGACCATGGAAGGGTATGGAACAATAGGAGTTCCTTTCTGGTCATCATCGAGTTTTCAAAATCTATTATTTTCAAAATCACCGATAGCCTCCCAACGATAATTTGATCCATCGTCAAAGCAAATACACCACATAGACATTCCGACGATAATTTCGCTTACTCAAGGCAACACCTGCTCTTTGTACCACAACCAATTGTTAACATTTTCAAAATCTATTATTTTCCTTTTCGGAAGAAGATCTATTATTTTTCTATTCGAAAGCAGTAAAACACTACTCTCAAGTAGTAAACCAGTAAAACACTATGTATATATATCGTTTTTCTATTCGAAAGCTATTTTATTTCTCAAATATGTTAGCTTTCTGGGTTTTCCCCATTTTCAGAATACCAACAAAAATGAAAAAGAAAAATATCAGTACTGAGAAGAGGGATTAAACCGTGCAATTGTGTTATTGTTCGCCGGTGAAAGGCCGATTTGGTCGTCGGGACAGACAAAAGACGACGTTGCTTGGAATTATGTGAGGGTCGTTGTTGTAACAGAGAAGAAGCTTTGAGGGAATAAGAGTAGAAATGATTTTAGGGATCGGGCATGAGAAAATGGTAGAGCTTATATTTAACATTTGGCGGCTTTTTTAATAAAACGCCACTATACACGGCGTTATTTGCGGCGTTTGAACAAAAAAGGCCACTGTTGATTAACACTATTGTGGCGTTTGTCTAAAAACGACGCTAAAGCATTCCTTATTGCGGCGTTTATTCGAAAAACGCCACTATAAAAACCCTATTGTGGCATTTTTGCTACAGACGCCGCTAAATTACTACTCTATTGCAGCATTTGGGCTAAAAACGCCGCATAATTACTACTCTATTGTTGCGTTTGTACAAGAAACGCCACTATTGATTAACCCAACTGTGGTATTTGTCTAAAAACGACGCTAAATTATTCTTTATTGTAGCGTTTTTTTGGAAAAACACCACTATAAACAATCCTATTGCGGCGTTTGTGGTAAAAAGACCGCTAAATTACTACTCTATTATGACGTTTGTACAAAAAACGCCGTTAAAGTATCAATTTGTGGCGTTTAGATTGTAAATGCCGTTATATGTTTAAATTTTGTGGCGTTTACTCTCTAAACGCCGCTACAGAACATTTTTGCTGTAGTGATCTTAGGGAATCTTGCCATATATAGTGTGATCTCATATAAAGGGAAAGAACTATACTAATTAATATGATTTGATAGTATTTGATGTTATTTCTTTAGATAGGGAGGATCTTGTATGATTTGGACACATCTTAAACGTCGATGTAAATGATCTAAACCATTGGATTGTAGAAAGACTCAACTATAAATAAGGGCCTTCTCCATCCTATTAGGGACACGAAAAAATAAGAAAGGAAAAATAGGACGAGAAATAAATAAGAGAGAGTCATCTAAAGCGTTGTAATCTGAAAGGGAAAGCAATAAAAGTAATTTTTTGTATAAAAGTAATTCTTTTATACTATTATTTTTTCAGTTTGTTCATTTGTTTGATCTCAAGTTTATCTTTATTTGAAAAATCCATCGAAGAGAACCTAAGAATTAAGGAAAATACTTACAAATAAATCTTCATAGATAAGCATTTAGTCATGAACTCGAACACATATCTCGTTATCTGTAGCCGTCAATAACAATGGATAAAGACCTTGATACATCTTATTACCATCAAGATGTACAGTGAACGGACTACTCTGTTCCTCAACTCATCAACCGAAACATAAAATTGACCCCTTAAATACAATGCACCTTCTTATCTAATATCATACTCGGATGGCACTACATGCTACACTAGGGCGTATTCATACACTAGGGCGGGCTCCTTTAACCTGAATTTACAGGAGTACTGAGTTTATGGGGATAAAAACATGCATCAAACAGAATTACATGTCCAAGCAAAACTCAATATTATAGTACAGTTTGCAGTAAACTTGTATCAATTCGATTTTGTCGAAGATTTTATTTATTTATTTTTATGTATCACTATTGGGTTACAAAATAAGTAGTCTTTGTTGTATCCCATCACATTATTATTTATTCTAATTCGAAACCTTACTTTTTATCACATGACAGTGTTACTTCATTCGAATTCAAAGCCTTCGAAAACTACAGAGTTTTAAGCCGTGGAGTTGTATATAAGCTCCTTCAAAGCTTCATCGTCAGGGTTGATGATGGAGACATTAATGAAGTCAGCAAATTTGAAGGCCTTGTAAATTGCAGGATTGCTTGCATTAACCAAAGCTTTCGCCGGTTCTATGATGCTTTCGTCACTTGGATACACGAAGAAAGAAACAGTCGTCCTGGCATCTCTCGAATTCGTCACCACTCGATGCTCAGCTCCGTTCAGTTTCCCATTGCTAATAAACTAATAAAACAGCAAAAAGGGTATTCAGAAATCTGGAAAAAAAATGAAAATTTATGACCAATGGTTGTTGCCGTACCATTAAAAGGGAGCCTATATTAACCACAAAGGCATGAGGAAGTGGTTCGATGCCGATCCACCGTCCATCTTTGAAGACTTGGAGGCCTTTTATTTGGGTTTGAAGAAGAATGGTGATGATGGTAAGGTCACGGTGTTTCAATAATCCCAGTGTTAAACTGGGTTCAGGGCATGGAGGGTAGTGATTAATAATGATTTGGGGAACCTGGCTGAGGTCATTGCTGAAATAATTAAGGCTAAGCCCTAATCCTTCGCATATAAGCTCCAGTATTCTACAGCTCAGTTTCCATAACTCAACCGAATAAGCCCCAACTACTTCTCTGAAAAGAAATGAAGAGAAAAAATGATAAATTCAAACTGTCGACAGTGAAGAGGAATGACGTGATAGTTTACCTGTATCTATTTGGCTTTTCAGGCCAAAATTGAATGTGTTGGTCTAAAGGACGGCAAGGGTGAATGACGGCATCTCTCCACAAGTGAACATCCTCCCTGGGATAAACGTAGCTGCTTGTGTACAGCTTGCAGCTGCCGTTGGGGTCCTTGGCGCATTCCCTTTCCTTGTCCAAGACTGGCATTGCATGGAATTCCTCTGCAACATTCATGGTTTCGTCCATTAAATCCTCTGAAACTCCATGGTTGATAATCTGCAGTATTTTAAAATATACATTAGTAGTGCATACAGATTTTAATCAGTAATGACATGCTTCAAACCTGGAAAAATCCGAACTCTTGGCCGGCTTTCATAATTTGTTGAATGGTCTCCTTTCGATCTTTACGCTGAAGATCGATCACTGGGATGGATTTTTCCATTGGAACAATGAGGTCGCCGGGTCTTGTCTCCGGTGGCATCACGTAACTTTCAGGCAAGGATCCATCGTAACACCAGCTTGAGAGCAGTGTCATGGTTTCAATAATTGGAATCCAGAGGCCTAGGTACAGCAAGTAAAGTGGGGGAATTAAAAGACTTGATAGCAAATTTACCCTTAAATAAAGAAATAAAAAGCCTTTTGACAGGCGTATGCACTTGCATCATCAAAATTTCTAATTATAAAGCAATGCTATGATTACGTATTGATATTGAATTGCCAAGTTATTTTTTATGAAAGATTAATAGCGTAGTTCACCAGGTGATTCTGCTGTGCAGCTGTTAAAATTCGACTTAAAAAGTGGCGTAATTGGTTTAACTGGTTAAATAAAAAAATTCAATAATATATCAATTTAAAATGTTACCCACGAGAACTTAAAATGCTACATATTTTAATAATATTTTCCATTACAATTTAAAATGTTATTTGAATTTCAAAATTAATTCAAACTTAATATTGAGATAACATTTTATGTTGTAATCGAAAATGTTACCCTTTTACATAATTTGTTATGATTTTAATAATATTTTAAGTTGTAATCTAAATTGATTTAAACTTAATTTGAGGATAATATTTTATGTTATAACATGAAATGTTACCCATTTTATATACTTTATTATGATTTTGGGTGATATTCACTCTTTCAACTTGGCCATGCTTAAACAGGTTTGGCGTCTCATTACGAATCCTGGGGATTTGTTGACATGAGTACTAAGAGCAAATTAGGCGTCTATTGGAGATAGGAGTTCGTATGCGTGGAAAGGCATCCATAAAGCAATTTAGGCTTTTAATGGTGCATATACTGGCGAATAGGTGTGAATAGCAAACTAAACTTACTTCGAGACAAGTGGGGTGGCTCCAAATTAGCATCATTGATTAACGACTACTCCTTAGAGCCTATCCAACACTTCACTGCCTCCATGTTTATGTACGAAGGGTGTGATATTTGGAATACATCGAGAGTTCGTGAAACCTTCACTGCAAACGATGCGGAAACAATTCTAGCTATTTCCATTGCACCGTGCCAAGAGGAGGTGCTCGTATGGGGCAATCATGATTTTGACATCTATTTTGTTCGTTCAGGGTATTGGTGGCTCCAACGTCTGATGCACTCAGCCTGAGCCAACTTTTAAAGCTTGGCAAACCATAACAAAATTTTGGGTACTCCCGAAGATTTGAGTATTTGCATGGCATCTTGGGCATGGGGGCCTTCCTGTAGGTCGTCGTCTGTGTGGGGCCGATATTAGTGATGGGATTTGTCTATGTTTCGTATGGAGGAAGAGACCATTCTAATGATATTTCTAGGTAATATATTTTAGTGGACACTCTTTTCTCTTGTAGAATATAGAAGGGGTTTTTAATCAGGAATAACCTAAAATATTATACATTTTGATACTATTTTCGGTTACAACTTAAAATATTACGTGAGTTTCTAAATTAATTTAAAATTAAATTGAATGTAACATTTTAGGTTGTAACAGAAATTGTTACCCATCTTTCATACTTTGTTATGATTTTGGGCAACATTTTAGGTTCTAACCTAAAATTTTAACTTGAATAATATAAAATGATATACGTTTCGAAAAAATTTCATGTTGCAACTTAAAATGTTACATGAATTTCTAAATTGGTCCAAACTTAATTTGAAGATAACATTTTTGGTTGCATGGAAATGTTATCCATTTTACATGCCTTGTTATGATTTTGGATAACATTTTAGCAGTTGACCCGAACAATGAAAAATGTTGTAAGTTTTGATAACATTTTTGTTGGACCTTATTACGTGATTTTCTAGATTGATTCAAGCTTAATTTAAAGATAAGGTTTTAAGTTATAATCGGAAATGTTATCCCTTCTACGTATTTTGTTATGAATTGTGTGATATTTTAGGGTTCAGCAATAATATACTATATAAATTTCTAAATTTATTTTGCTTACGGTTGTCGTAAATGCATTTTCAACATTGCTCACAATGATGTCCCAAACTCTTATTTTCGACAAATAAAGAGTATTAAAAAGAAAATCATTCAAGTAATAGCTTTCCTTCAATTGGCTAAAGTTGAGTCCCAAATGCAAACTCACTACAATGGTTTGTTTTTGGTCTCTCTCAAGAAAAAATATTAGAATAGTTCCAAATTTTGTTGCTTACTTCACGAAGTAGAATATAAAATTCTATGTTTTTTTGGGCTAAAACTTATGTTAAAAGGAAACATGTATTAGGAGTAATTATTTATTTATAGAATATCCGATAATCACGTATTGGTTAAACCACCAGATGGACACCAACAAGGGTGATTGGGACGATTAAACTACTAAGTCCCATTCAACTAAGGAAATCAACTCAATCCATTGTTCTCAGCACTTGCAAAACTCAGTGCAAATAAGCTAATAAAATTCAACCAACAACTAGTTGATCTAATAATACGAGGCATTAGATATTTTAAATAAAATAATAAATTCGAATTTTAACATTTACAAATAAAATAAATTAGATTGGAATGATCGTCTTCATAATAAATTTTTGTAAAATCCGATCTGAAATAATTAATTAATCAACCGAATACTTATTATTAAACAAATGAAAAAAAAGTTAATAATACTATGGAAGATAAAGATTTGTCTTCTTTCTTTTAACTGCTGTTGTTGGAGTAGCGTGCCAAATGTAAATTCGACTAAATATAAACTCAGATAGTCACTAGCTACTGATCTTTTTGTTAGTTTCGATCAGCCATTAATTGTACCTGTTCTAATTAGAATATAGTGAAGACTTTGTATTCATTAACAGGTTGGTTCAAATAGTAAATAGCTTGATATAGCTTAAGCAAGGTCTCGAGTTCGAATATTTGTATATGTAGAAAATCTCTACTGGGACACTTACCCACCAAAGCAGGTTGTGCGACACAAGTCGATCCAGATTAATCAAAGTAAAGCCTTGTGATCAGGCAACAATTTTTTTTTTGTATTCATATCTCTTTTATATGGTATACTATTTTTGTCTGAATTCGTCCACTGTTAAGTTAAATTTTAGTTTCTCAAATAAGAAGAAAGTTTTTAATAAAACACTTTTCCTTTTTTTGAAAAAAAAATACTTGAAGAAAATCCTTAAAAAAATTAGTTTATTTGATCACTTTTAAGTTTGAAAATTTGATAACATGTAAGGAAATATTAGCTTCCCTACAATGCCAATCGGAGGATGGTTTAATCAGAAGAAAAGAAAAAGATGGTACCATTCCAAGGAAATAATATATAATGATTTAACGTTTATGATTATTTTCATTTAATTAAGTACATACTTTAATTTAATTTACTTAATTAATTATTATTTGATAGTATTACAATAAGGCAAATAATTTTGATAGTTGGTTGGGTTATCTAAATCATACTACCATATAATTAAAAAGTTATCATTACCATAAAAGCAAATAATTTAATATTTTGTGGGGTCTATTAGGTAAGAAATGTTGTATCTGAATCATAATACTCTAGAATTTCTTTTTTTTTATAGTATTATTGTAATTTAAATTTTGATAATTAATCATCAGACAGGGGTTGATTCAAGTGGTAAGCAGCTTGATATTGATTAAGCAAAGTCTCAAGTTCAAGCCCTTTTGTATTCGAAAATCCCTATTGGGAGAATCACCCACCAAAGTCAGGTGTGTGATGCGGGTCAGTCCGGATTAGTCAAGGAGAAGCCTTAGAATCGGTAGGGCAACCAAAATGTTTTTTTGATAATTTATAAGAAAAACCCTAAAAACATAGTTTTCTCTTATTGGTGTGACGCTCATCTCTTTTCTTTTTCATCTTTGTTGATCGACAACGACACCAACTTTAATGTTGGTTACCGATCGCTGATATTCTATATATATTTTTTATTTTATATATAGTATCTTTATTTTCTTTTGTTTTTTTTTATTTTCAATAAGTATGACTGTGTTGCATGTTTTCATCTGCCTTTATGGCACGCTTTCTTATGTTTTTTGGCATGTTTTTTGAGTCTTTGGCTATTTTTTATTTATCTTTTTCTAAGGGTTGATTTGACATCGCCACGATTGATCAAGATGTTGTTTATCTGATATCTTGTGATCTTCACTGCTTTGGACCCTTGGATTGGATTTGAATACCCGATTTGCGTTCGTGGATAGCTTTTCATGTCGCTCGAGTCTTATTTTAGTTTGTTGATAGTCTTTCAATAGCTTGACCCCTTTTTGGTTCGTTTGCCGACGTGATCAGATTTGTTTGTATCTATCTTTGTTCGAGTTTTTTTTTTTTATTAAATTTAACATTTCCTTGTATTGTCCTTATGTATTCTTAAGTTACTAGTTTTATTTCAATGATTATATGTAGCACCATAATCCAGTCCAACCCAAAGATCCATGGATTACGATATCACTTGGAACCACCGAAATGGACAACCCAAAAATTTCTTTTTAAAATGTTTGTAATCATTAAAATAATTCATCATAAATTGCAGCAAAAAATCAATTCAACATTTACAAAATATAGGAGTCCTCCAAAATACGTATATCATGACCATAGAGTTTAAAATCAAAGCAGAGTTATGACTCGAATATACAAGGTCCATATAGAATACACGTCCTCTACAAATATTCAAGACATACTCTGATAATCGGTTGGTCTGTAATGGACAGATGTGATAGGCTCGCTCAGTAATCCTCAAATAACCTACGCACGAAAACACATTTCAAGCGCTGAGCTCACAAGCTCAGTGCCACAAAAATAACTATACAATACTACATGCATTCATTAAATGAACATATCAGAATGCAAAGTATAAACATGTGTAAGTACACATCAAACATGAGATAGGTCAAGTGGTGTGGTCGGAGGAATTTACGTGTATCTCGGACAACACACTAGCCTATCTAGAACGTGATAGCTTTGGAGTAAGAAACAAAATTTAAGTGTGTTAGAACTTATGGCCCTCAGACTACCTCGGATCCTCGAGAGGTCGGGGCGAGGTCCAGAATTTACGTGCATCGAAAGCTCACATCCCGTTCCTAGTCGAGCATATGGTACGATTTTAGAATTTACGTCCATCGAAATTCATATCGGTACAACCCAAAATTTACGTGCATCAGATGCGTACCAAAC